CTATTATTCTACATTACAAAATGTAAAGAATATTGACACTATGGCTTTTTAAAAAAAAACTTTAAACCTACATTAGTTTTTTTCAGCTATTCTTTGTATTTGAAAAGTTCCAAGCTTTGCTTTCAGATAAAGTTTGATTTTCATGTAAATCATTAGCTTTTCTTTCGTCCAGCTGACAGAACAAACCTGTATGTTTCTGCATACCTGCAGCTTGTTAGTGAAAACAACTTTTGAAAACTATTCATTTCCTTGACATCTTAAAACTCCAACAACACCGTTGAGCTGAAATACTTGTAAACATCCACGTTCCAGTTTATTGTGTGGACGCTTTCAGTTTTCAGACGTTCGAACCTTGAAACATAGTGGAAACATCCCACATGTTGGTTTGTTTGGAAACATTCCAGGAGTGACAACAAGCCACATGATGGAGGGCTGGGTCAGTGACTCATGTGACCTCAAGACACCTTATAATCACAGTTTGCATTTGTAATCTGGAACATTTAGTCCACCAATTGGAACTGAAGAAACTTTTTAGTTGACCTGGTGAAACGTTTTTGAAAAATCAGAAAAAGTCCTGTTTCCTTCAGTTGAACCACTTCCTGTGAGATGAGTASGTCCTGGAGGACTGAGAAAAGAAGCCACTTATTTATTGATCTATGCGTGCAAAAATAACAACAAAACAGCAGCACTGTGCTCAAGATTTGTATTTTCAGCTGCTCCTAAGGGATAAATTAATTATTTCTGTAAATACCATGTTTAGATTTAGATAAATTACTTAAAACACACAAAATTAATGTCTGGTTTCCACCCGCAGGCCTTCCTAAAATATAATAAAACCTTCCACAAACTGTTTCCTGGGATTCCAGAGGGGGAAAGTCTGACATATGGTGAGTTGAGGCTTCTGTTGGTCGTTTGTTTATATTGATTAAAGGCAAAACTTCACTTCCTGCTTTTTTAATCCAGCTGTTTGCTCCATTATTTACTGCTTGATAGTTTTATTAGCCAAGCGGTCCGCAATAAAAGCTGAGCCACTTCCTGTCGGTGAACGATCCAACAGAAGTGCTTCTGTCGGCCACTCGAAGGCTTATTTTAACATCTCTGACCTGACTCTGTGTGTGTGTGTGTGTGTGTGTGTGTAGTATTCACCTGCTCCTTACAGAGAGAAGTGCTCTATCATGGAAAACTCTTCGTGTCTGACTACCATTTGTGTTTCTACTCGTCTGTTCTGCTCAAAGAAACCAAGGTAATGTGTGGCGACACCCGGATGAATTCTCACGCAGCACGATGCTGTCTAAGAATTCAAACTGAATAACCAGATTAAATCCCCTTTAAATCCCACATCGCAGGTGGTGATTCCCATTTCCAGTGTGAGGGAGCTCAAGAAACACAACTCAGCTCTGCCGATGCTGTCTATAACAACCTCCAGTGAGAAGGTTAGACTCGCCATCAGGAATTCAACGTGTTTCTTGTTTCTTAACTGCAGACCCTGCAGCGTGTTCTGTAACGTAAAGTGTTCAGTCGTCTACGAAAACAGAACCTTAATTAAAAACTAAAGATAACTCAGTAATTAAAACAAGCTTGAAGCTCAATTAAACATCCCACATAGCAGACAGGTGTGGACTGGATCTGATGTCAAGCTGGCACTGCTAGTTGACTGCTGGCATGGAAAGTGGTTTTTCAACTAGATGTGGGTCTGTTCTGGAAAAGTTGCCACTGTTTTTAAGGTGGCATTGCACAACTGGCCCAACSGTGGTTTGGTATATGAGGTACAAAACTGATCAGTGCCAACACTGGCCCAGTTGTTATCTGGTGTATGTGGTGCCACCAAAGGACCGTCGTTCTTTACAGTATCTGGCTCAAGCTTTACTGCTCAGATACAGACATGTGGGCCAGAACTGGATCAGTTTTACTATGTGGGATGATGCAATGAAGCCGTAATGATTCGTGGTAATTCTAACCAAACAGCTCAGACCTTCTATTTTATTTTTAATTTCTTTTCCTGRTATAAAATTTAATTCAAAATGCATTCGATTTGAAAATAAAACAAAGAACATGTTTTTTTTTGCAATTTTTAAAGCTATTTTTATATTAAATGAAGTTGCTTACAGGCAGATTGAGTTGTACAGTATATAATTATTATAGATCTACATAACAAGATTGCCACTCTGACAGAAATATTTGTCATTCAAGTCTAAAAAAATTAATTTTCATTTGTTTACTTAAAATAACTCATCAGCAGGCCGGACTGAAGCCATCTGCTGGCAGGATGTGGCCTGTGAGCCACCAGTTGAATAGCCCTGCTTTATGTGTATTTTCTTCATTTTAACAGTGATTTTCTTACTTCAGTGTAACTTTTACTGATTGCAGTTATAGATTAATTTCTGGCAGAGTAAACATTTATGACTTGATGTTAAAGAAAGCCTCCTTATTTTTAAGTATTACCAATCAGTTAAAAGTAAACACAAAAACTAGATGAAAACTGTGGGAAGCTATGGTTGTGTTAAAATGAATGTGTTTGTCGAGATTTAACCTTTTTTTGTCTCTCTTTTTCAGTATTTATTTGCCTCTGTGAGGAACTTAAAGTATCGTTTGAAACTCCTTCAAAACGTTTGTTCACAATCACAGGTGCTGTATTTTTTTATTTTTTTACTGTAAACCATACCCACCCAGCAGTTAATAAACTGTTTTTGTGTTTGAAATAGGAGGAAAGTGAAAACAGCAGCCCTCAGCTCTCCTCTGCAGAGATCGATGGTGTACGTGACACGGTGAGTTTGCAGCTCAGTATTTAAGAAATATTAAACACATACAAGAAGGTATTAATGTTCTGCGTGTACTTATATCGTCTGCAGATTTCCAGCTCTTCTAGTTTCGAGGGCATAGAGCAGGACTCGTGCAGCATCGATTTAGACAGCAGCTTCCTTCAGATGATGGGTGAAGGTAGAAAAATATATTCTAGAATTCATTCATTTACTGAAGTATCGTATAAATACCACAAAATATAACGAGACGTTTGTGCTTTTTCAGTTCCTGGTACAAGCAGTTCTTCTCGTAAAAGCAGCTTACCAGAGGAAGACCACAGAGGTGTGTGAACGCATGAATTACCCATGATCCTCAGGGAGGCTTCAGCATGGACCCACAATGGTTTTGTTTGTCTTTAGCTGTATTGCTGGTTCGGAGGGTCACAGAAAAAATCACGTCGTTTTTCTTCAGAGATGCTAAAAATTGCAGCGTACTCTTCTACATCTACATATTGCTGTGAGTATTATTTTAGCACTGTGCAAAAGTCCTAGTCCGACATCTTTTACTCTTTTAAACAAGTTTCGTCAATGTTTCTCCAGGCTTTTTGAGAATCTTTCAGGGTTTTTTTTTTTTTTTATTTCTTTTTCTGCTTCTTCTATGTTATTGTTCTGATTCTTTACTCTGACCTGAGTCACAAAATAAAAATGACTAAAAAAGAAATAAATCAAATGTTAACTCTGCTTTAGGTCTGTTCATACATGTGTCAAAATGACCAATTTGCTCCAATTTCCTCAGATGAATTTGCAAATAACATCCAACACAACACAAGCAGGATTTGTTCCCCCTCAAACTTGATTCCCAACTAGTCGAAAGGTATACTGGTGGTTTAGAAGTGAACAAGATAAAATAAAATGAACAAATAATAAAATGAACTACAACAAATAAAATAAAGTGAAGCTGCAGTAAACAAATGTTTCAGTCCGTATTTAAAGAAACCAACAAGTTCTGAACATCTCAGGTTTTCAAGTTGGTTCCAAAAATTAGCAGCACAAAATAAAAATGTTGTAACTTGTTTGGTTTTGTTAACTAAATAAAATGATTTCTGATGACACCTGACCAGTAATTCTGACACGGATTTAGGCCTAAAACCTTTTAGTGTCCTAATGACAGAAAAAGAGAGGATTTTTAATTTCATTGCGAACAGGGAGCCAGTGGAGGGATTAAAGGACAGGAGTGATACGTTTCAGTCTCCTGTGCACATGTGAAAAATGTTACAATCATGTATCTAAAATAAAAGCCTCCTAATTGTCTGTGTCCTTTAGACAGAGATCCTTTCATTCTTGTAGTGTTCTGGCTAATTTAGTAATAAACATATAGTAGTATTAGTAATATTAATAATAGATGCTGCTTTACACAATACCTAACTTTATAGACTTAAAGGTTTTCATTTGATCTCATTCTACTCTCTTTTAATGTGGTTCATATAAGATTTTATTATAACTTTTTAAAAAAGAAAAATACTAATTAGAATTTTCATCAAATCTTACTGCACCTGAGGTAATATATCAGTAGTGCAACGACAGAAGTTTATTATTAACATTAAACATCTTGAAATGCTGTCTTTGTCAGTATGGTTTTAGCTTGCTGACTCACTGGATTGCYTCAAAGCTGTCAAGTAAAGACAAAGATCTCAACCTTCATTTTCTGATAATGGACAAGCTTTTCACTCGTGCCCTGCCCTGATMCACTTTACTGATATCCTATCACTAGAAATGTTCAGGTTTTAATTCAGAGCTCTGGTCGGGGATAAATTCAGTGTTTTTAGTACTTAAAGGGCTGAGATCTGAGACGTGAAATAAATTGAACTTGTTTTGGAATCTTGCAGAATGTTGCTGCTGCTGCTGGCGTCTGGATACATCGGGCTGAGGATCATGGCTCTGGAGGAGCAGCTGAGCTCTTTGGGGGCCCTGTCTGATTTGTCCAGAGAGTGAGTTGCCACATCAACATAAAAAAAATAGAGAGGTCACATAGAAGCAGTCAAAAAGAAAATAAAAACAGTAATTTGTTGGGAAGCGTGTGCGTGGTGGGAAAAAAAAGGGTGAGATAATGATATAAACTGGTTTAAAAGTCACGACCTGATCAGATAGAAGTGGAGTCGTTCAGCTGGTTTGTTACAGCGATGTCAAGAGATAATTAATCRCACGTCTGCACGTCACACCTGGAACAGTCGTTTGTGTGGAACACTGAAAATCTGTGATCGTCCAGATTAAGATGCGTGAGACAAAACATTTCGATCAGAGTAAAAATGTTGGTACAAAGCAGGGACGCACCCACGTTTTCAGAAAAACAGAACATCAAACCACGATCAGGAATACTGTGCTGTGATATTTAGTTTGTCATAACAAGGTGGATGGAATTTAGAATTTAAAAAACTGAATGGGAATTTTTTTTTTAGCACTCTGTACCTCTGGCATATATCACAACATATTCAAAAGCTTAAATGAGTCCCAGAAAGCTGAACATTTCRTGGCTGAACTGGTATTTTAACATATTTTACACAACACATCTTAGATTTTGTGATTTTTGGAGATTTTGTCACAGAATGTTCGACAAACAGTTGATCGAGTCACACATTAACTTTCAAGTTGTCTAAACTTTATTTGCAAACAAACTGAAAACAGTGTTTTTTCATACATGTACAAATTATACACCAAAACATATTTGTCCTTTTGCACCCAGTTTGTCACTCGCTGCTATGGGATTTATAGATTTCTCTCAAATGTTCTTAAAGTGGGATTTCTATTAGGTTTTTTTTGCCAAAACAAGTCTTTTAATCTTGTCATATTACCTACTTAAAACGCTGTAGGAACATAAAAACTGTGACCATTAGAGGGCATCTAACGCAAAATCCACTTTGGTCCTTAAATCCATTTTGTTGTGTACTTGGAGTCTCTAAGAAAAGTTGATTTTAGTTTCTCTTAGTGTTGAATAGATATCTTTATATTCTGTTTTTGTCATATTTTTCAATTTGATCAGTTTTCTCTATTCTGTTACCTACTTTGAACAATAGCGTCACAGTATTTGCTGGAGAACTTTTAAATGAGGTCACAGACTTCTGACTCACCAATTCCGCGAATCTGCGGTTTGTCGGCTTTATTCTCCTCATTTCTGTGCCGCTAGATAATCGAATCTCTGCTCTCAAACTACAAAAATGACTGAATGTGGGGAAGTGGACATTGGGAGTGTGACCTGGACTTCAATTCAAACCTTAGAAATAAGAACAAAAAAAGTTACCCAGGATTTGGTGTGTACTGTGATTAAAACACAAGATGATAAAAAGATAGATGTTTACTGCAACTTAGAGTGGAACAAGAATTCATTAAAAAAGCCTATGAAATAAACTGATTTAAAAATCTAAAATCTAAAAAATGCAAAAATATCAGAAGCAGGTCACAGAGTGGATGGCTGTGGCGTTCCTTTTGTGTCAAAATAAGTTTTTCTGTCCATGTAAGATGTATATGTAATGGGATTTTTAAGGTGATATGCTAAGTGATATGTTATGTATACACATATCACCTAACATATACACATAACATATGACATAACATATCACTTAGCATATCACCTATCCCAATCCTGATCAAAATCTTAAGACCAGTCAAAAAAGTGCAAGAATTTGCATTTTGCACYATTGGATCTGAAGAAGGTTCTAAGTAGAGCTTCACAATGTTAAAAGAAGAAATCAGTGCAAGAGACAAGAACTTTTGAGCAGGGAATTTTCTGAAAACTGCATTTACACTCAAACATGATTTTTTTCAGCTGATCAAAAGTTTAAGACCATAGCTAAAAAAAAACCAACCCGAAAACCCCCCAAAACAGGACTCAGTAATGAGTAGCTCCACCATTCTTGTTGATGACTTCAAACAATGGTTTAGGCATGCTTGATGCCAGTGTTTCCAGGAGGCTAGTGGGAACGTTGCTCCAAGTATTGAAGATGGCTTCATGAAGGVCATCCACTGTCTGGAACTGATGTCCATTTTTGTAAACTTCCCTTGCCATCCATCCCCAAATGTTCTCAGTTGGGTTTAGATCMGGGGRACATGCAGGATGGTCCAAAAGAGTGATGTTATTCTCTTGGAAGAACTCCTTTGTCAGGYGGGCATTGTGAACTGCAGCATTGTCCTGTTGAAAAACCCAATCATTACCACACAGACGAGGCCCTCAGTCATGAGGGATGCACGCTGCAACATCTCCACATAGCCAGCTGCTGTTTGACGCCCCTGCACAACCTGAAGCTCCATTGTTCCATTGAAGGAAAACGCACCCCAAATCATGATGGCGCCCCCACCACTGTGCCGTGTAGAAAACATCTCAGGTGGGATCTCCTTGTCATGCCAGTAACGTTGGAAGCCATCAGGACCATGAAGGTTAAATTTTTTCTCATCAGAGAAGACAACTTTCTTCCHCCTTTCAATGTCCCATGTTTGGTGCACACTTGCAAAGTCCAAACGGSCARTTTTGTGGTGTTGAAGAAGACGTGGCCTTTGAAGATGTTTTTGTTTCTGAAGCCCTTCTCTCACAGATGCCGTCTGATGGTTATTGGGCTGCAGTCAGCACCAGTAATGGCCTTAATTTGGGTAGAGGATCGTCCCGTGTCTTGACGGACAGCCAATCGGATCCTGCGGCTCAGAGCTGGTGAMATTTTTTTGGGTCTACCACTTGACTTTTTGTTCCATAACCCTCAGGATCATTTAAAAAATGCAAAATGACTGTCTTACTGCGTCCAACTTCAGCAGCGATGGCACGTTGTGAGAGGCCTTGCTTATGCAGCTCAACAATCCTACCACGTTCAAAGTCAGTGAGCTTTTTTACTTTTGCCATCAGGAGGTCTTGACAGTGTAAAGACTTGACAGAAAATGACATGGAATCCAGATTTTTGCACAGCTTTTGGCTTTTAAAGACTATGGTCTTAAACTTTTGATCAGCTGAAAAAATTGTGTTTGAGTGTAAATGCAGTTTTCAGAAAATTTCCTGCTCAAAGGTTCTTGTCTCTTGCACTGATTTCTTCTTTTAACATTGTGAAGCTCTACTTAGAACCTTCTTAAGATCCAATAATGTAAAATGCAAATTCTTGCACTTTTTTGACTGGTCTTAAGATTTTGATCAGGAGTGTACATCTTACATAGACAGAAAAATTTTTTTGACACAAATGGAACGCCATACATTTGGGTACAATCTGACTGCATCCCTGCACAGAAGCTGGTTTTCAGTTGGGAAGTTCTTTCCTGGATGCAGCACAGCCTCCTCCCTGGAGTGGGTACGAGGCGTGAAGCATTTGCATTTAAAGAGACAGTACCAAAACGAGTTGCTCTCAGACATGCCTCAGAACAGGGGGTGAGTGAGGGGCTTGTGGAGCTACAACAAGGAGGTACTCAGACCAAAGCAGTGCAGTTCCACTTTATGTAGACCCCAAGTGAATGATTTAAATGTGAAAAAGGTTTTAAAAGCATATGTCTACTTTAATCTTTGACGCTCAAAGTTCAAGAATTTTTTAATGCGATGTGTTGCCTTTGCACAGCCTGTTTGAGGCTTACTTTAGTCTTTTGTGTTTCTGTCTGCCTCTCAGTGACATCAGGAATTGTCTAGCAGCAGCTTTAACAGTTTTTCTGATTCTTTACACATCTAAGATGTAGCCATTTTTCTTCTCTTACTTCAAAGTTGATGTTAGTCCTAGGCACCCTTCAACATCTTAGTCCGTTGCTCTCTTTAAATCTCACTCTCCTCCTCTTTCTTCTTTTCTATATTTTCAGGTTCCAGGAAACGTAGCCACCAGCTGTGCACTGTTCCACAGCGTCTTAACACCAAACCTCACTTCCTGCACCCCTAAATAAAAATATATTTTCAAACGACGTTGTTTCATCTGCTTTGAACACAAACACCTCTCAGAAGAAAACTAAGTTCCTGGATTAAGGTGGATGTTCCACAGTTCAGCAGGAAACTGAAGGCAGACTCTCTTTCATGGCAACCTGCTGAGAGCGTTTTTATTTCTTTGGACACTGAACGGCTGATCTCAGCAAGAAAAAGTTACTGAAGTCTCTGCTGTCATTTTTGGGAATTACCTCAGCCTGGAACCACGAGAGCAAACTGAAGTTTAACTCAGCTAGAAAAGAACTTATCTGTTATTTCAGGATTATGTGAAGGCCCGTATTAATTATGATCTCACTGTGAGAATGAGCGAGTTTGTGACCAATTCTCACCAGCAGAGGGCGATCACACCTAACAAATGTTTTGCAGATTTGTCTCAAAACTGTTGTTTAGATTTCAATAAAGTGGCCAAACAACTCACAAGACTTAAAAAAAAAGTTTTTTATGGCAAAAACAGGAACAATGTGTTATTTGTGTAGTTGTGATTTTTTAGTAATTGTGCAACTGTATGATTTCCGTACACAAGTTATAGCTCTGCACTTGTTATTCTGACCAAATAAACACTGTTTATACCTGTTACATTTGCTTTATTTATTTATTGCATTTTTAGCTGATTTACAAAATCTGCTAAATGGAAACTTCCCTGTAGGAGTATATCTGGCACATTTGCATGATGTGCTCACAATTGTAAACTATAAAAACACACAAAATATAATACATTATTGAAAAACGACTCCAATATTTCCGTGTTTTATACAGAAGTGATTTTTATTTTTGTCGTCCATAAAAAGGTCAAGAATCAGTCCATGAATTAACTTCATTACATCATATTTTAAGTTCCAAAAAAGCAACATAAAATTACAAATAATACAAAGAATAGAATAGATAAGAACAATAACCATATAAACAGTCTACCTATTATGTCTAGACCCTCCAGCCAATTTGATCACACTCAAACTCTAGCACAAAACTCAACATTACATCAATTAGTATCAGCGATAAAAAAAAATCAATTTCCCACTTTTTTTTATTATTTTTCTTTAAAAGAGCTTTCTAGTATCATGTGTTCAGTTTTACCCTCACGTAGACTACACAATAGATAATAATTCATCCGGTCATTTGCTCTGCAAAGCACAACAGACATGCATACAGTTTTTACTGCTCAACCCCCCCCCCCCCCCCCCCCCCCCCCCCAACCCCATTATAACACATTCAAGGCCAGGGGATACAATATATATGCCAACATTAGTGGTGCATCAAGAAAACAGAAACTTTCCACCCCCATTTTTTAACCCCATGACTCAAACGTAGTTCCAGAAGTTTTCACTTAGTCCCCAATGAGCTCAGGAAACACAGAAGTCCATCATTACTTCCACAGAGAGGCACGTTCTCTCTCAAATTCTTCAGAAGACTCAGATTCCTGGTTTAAGGTTTTTCAATTATTTTAAAAATTAAAAAAAAAAAACATCAGACACAAAGTACAGGATGAGAACAGAAATATTTCCCTGCTGGAGCTGACAGGAAGTGAGTGATGTTCAGAAACCCCTTTAGGCTGCTTTTAGAGACCCTCCAAAAAAAACAAGGAGTAATCAGGTCCGTGATAGTTAAGAAATGTTCCCTTTGAATAAAACACAGCTACTACCCCCGACGCTGATGGATCTCCTGAGCAGCGAGCACCTTCTTGGACTACAGCAGGCCTATAACCTGTTATCCACCCAGAAAAATTCATATACTTGATTCTGGCCTGAAGAACAAAGTCAATAATAAACAAACAAAAAGACACAAAGACTTACATTTTATACCCTTATTACACTTTGGATGCTTTGTACAATAGTGCTGAACTTAAGACCTGCTCTTTTCATGCTTGATCTGATATACATAGATATATAAATGTGTAAGTAGTGTGTGTGTGTGTGTGTGTGTGTGTAATGATGTGCAAAGATGTGGTGGAGCCTGCACCACACCAACAGTGAGAGGCTCAAATATGGCTTGTGTCACACATTGGAACGTGCTGCCACCCATAAGAGAGCTACTTTACACTTCAGACCAGCGGTCTACACAGAGGGGAGCCCCACTGTCCCGTCCTGGCACCAGATCTGAATCACATCGTTTAGTCGTAACACAGAAATTATGAAACAATCTAAGGCGCCCACTAGAGCTGCACCGATGAATCGCCGGGTGCCGATTTCCTCGGCGATCGGCCGATACTTGGACCTAAGCAAAGGTCTGAGAATCAGTCACCGTCCCCCTTTTGCTCTGCATGAGCACTCCCAGTTAAAACAGGTTTGTATTGATTCAAGGGTATTTTTCAATGTTTATTCAATAAAAGAAGATTGGAACATTGAAGGTTTGTTGTGACCTTTTAACACTTGACTGTGTCATAAAAAAAATGGTATCGGCAGGTCAGGCTTTTTAAAACTTTGGCGGTCGGCCAGAAAACTGAAATCGGWGCACMCCTAGTGCCCACACCAGAACCAACAAGTCAGGATTACTTACAAAAGAAGCAGAAAATGTGCTGACGCAAACAGGAGGCTGACTCGTGTGATGAGTGCTACTCGTAATTAAAAAAATGTATTAGTTTATTTCTGATGATAGTTTGGAATCAAACAAAATGAAATGAAAACATGATTCTTATTAAATGGGGAAAAGACAGCTTCATTTTTTAGAGCCAAATCCAAACATTTCTTTTCCCAACTTTAGACTTACAACTGTAGGTTAACGTTTAAGAAATGTGCTTTTTGTTTTGGTTTGTCCATGCCACAGTTTGGACAAAAGGTCAATCACTTGTGTCAATATGATGAAGTGACAACCAGTTATTTTCTAGAAAAAAACGAATGGAAAAGAGAGGAGAGGGGAAAAAACTGGCTCTGTTTGAAGGTAAAAATAAGAACCAAGCACTCCACAGCTCACAGTTGGAAGCAGACGTGAAGTGGATTTATGGGGTGTTATGTGCTTGGCTAATTCTTTTTCTGGGTTGCAGTCATTTTCTTGACTGCAGTCTTTTCCAAAACTTCACTTATCCCTTCAGATTAACCTCTTTTTTTTTCTTCTTTTTGTAAAGCATCTGTTAGTGCGCTCAAGATCTGACGCTGTCTTGTTACTCAAACAAAATGGGAAAACCCCAGAGTGGACTTGAGATTCTACAACAATGAGCTCAATCCTGGGGAACGGATACGCTGTTCACGGGAGATGGTTTTGAAGAATCGTGGAAATAAACACAAAGTCTTGGCCATTTGATGAACTCATCAGAAATAAAAATGAGGGAACGTCTCAAACACCCAACGGTCGTACAAAGCTTGAGAAAGTTTTCAAGACCAGTCTTTAGATTACCAAGAAAGAAATGATGTAAAAAAAAAATCGGAGCTGTGTCCTCCCGAAACTCCACAAAAAGAGTAGTGTTAGCTGAACAAAAACTTGGGAGATGCCCTGGCAGTCACAGGGATGTCCATTTAAAAGGTAAACAATAAGCAGGAGGAGGGAGGGAGCACATGCTTGACCCGTGTTTGTCCACTGGAGAGAGAGCTGGTCAAGCTGTGGAGGTATTCCAAATTAAAAATGATCAACTTGATAAGACTCCGTTAGCCTCCTACGCTTGCAGCTTTCCAAGTTGTCAGGATGTCCATCTCGGTCTGCACCCACACACATAATCTCATGTGCGAACGTCACTGAGGCGTCGCAGGTCCACAGAGATTAAAACACACACACACACACACACACATTTTAATACACTCATCCAACATCCACTCGCTTCTAAATTACATCTGTGTGCCTTCTTAGACAAAACAAACTCACTTCCCCATTTCAATCAGATCAACATTAACTGGTGAATTATTTTATCCGTTTGTTTTTTATTTCTAAGTGTTTTATTAACACTGTACAAATGTATAAAGCTAATGATGTATTACAAAATTTTCTCACTTTTAAAAACAGGAAACACGACTTACAGCGTCTTTGTTTTTTGTTGTTTTATCCTGTAGGTATGCTGCTGTAAAGACACACTGATGATCTATAACTCTCTCACACACACATACACACACACATCGCAAGCATGCTGATGCCCCCTTTCATACACATGCAAGCTCAAACGCACACAAACACACAGTGTCATAGATACAAACACAGAGAGCCTGCTTGTTTCTCAGGCGTGCTGTGCAGCCAGGTCCTGGTTGATGAAACGCCGTAGCCTTTCCAAGTACTGACTGTAAAGCTCGATGTCGTTGTGACCCGCCCCCTCCACCCAGAGGGGCTCCACCGCCTTGGGGCAGCGCTCAAACAAGGCGAGGCCGTGAGAGAAGTCGATCACCTCATCCTCCGTACCGTGAATAATGAGCACTGGAGACGGGATCTTTGACACCTTCTCGATGCTGGAAGACAAAGTTCAGACATTCGGGCATCAGAATCGATTGTTTGTTTGTTATTCTTTTTTTTTTTTTTTTGGTGGGGGGGTGCTTTTCTTAATACAATAACAGGTGGATGTCTCGCACCGGATTCATGTCACAAAATAATGGTTCATGACTGTGATGAAAGTTGGGCATTTTACCATTTTGTTGGCATTAATGTTTTTTAAAGTAATGCATAACAGAGGATAAAGATGCTACAGAAAAGGTATGAGATGTTTTAATTGGATTTATTTATCTAAAAAAAATACATCCTATTTTTTCCTCCAAAAAGCTGTGTAAATACAGGTATATTGGAAAGGCCAATATTTTAAACCCTACATTTATTCGAAACAGACTCTAAACTCATGAAATGGACTGATGATGGATTCTATGGATTATAGAATAAAAAATACATTAAGTGACAATGGATACAAAACATCTATGCACGCTTTTAAAATACCAGGTTTTTGTGATATAAGAAAAATACAATTGAAACCACTGAATCATTTTGAAACGTCTAATTTACATCCTTCACATCATAACTGAAAAGAAAAAAAATTCAGTTCTTGAGGAAAAAGACTACAAACAAATACAAGTAATATTTTAATTTGTCTAAGTGTGCATAGCCTTAAACTAATAATTAATATCTAAGATCTTAATACTCATTGTTTTTGGGAACACACCTGCTGTCAACTGAAGTGATTCTGATTTAGGGCAGGCCAATAAATCTATAATGATATCAATACAAACAGAAAAAATGCTCTAGAATATTGATGGTTTCTCTGATCCAGAACTGCACAGCATTCTGGAGGATGTAGGCAGAGGAAAGGCTTTAGTCACTCAACCTCTCGTAGGGTCAGTTAAGCAAGGCTGGTGGCATCAACTCACTCACTCTTTGGTAAGCTAGCAACAATCTGCTGAGTAACATGAACAGTAGCAATTTCATGTTTCACCACCGTGCCTCAGAACTGCTTCAAAATAATAATAATAATAATAACAAT